TTTTTTTTCTAGAATTACTTTTTTACACTATCCCAACACTGTGCCGGGTCCCTATGCATGTCTGCATATGAACAGACAGTTCCTCCCCATTTTTATTTTTATCAATACATTATGATGATGTATTTAGATGTTTAATAAATGGGTAAGCTTATTAATTATTAAATGACAAGTTTAACACATCTCTAGTCACTTGGGGTGTGGATCTCAAAACGCCTTTAAAATCCAAATAAAATGCATATTTGTCAATCCCAGGACATGTACTGATCATATATATCAAAAAAACTTTTTTTTTTTTTTTTTTTTTTTTTTTTTGAGGCCCCATCTGGGTAACCCCGTTTATTTACCCCGTAATAGGTATGAGGGGGTCGGGGTCATCCTCCATCATACCTTACATTGTTAATATACATATACATGTTGCAAAATAATTATATTCATGTAAATATTGTCAAATACATCTACAGTATATATTTTGTATATAAATATAAACAACATACATACAATAAACCCATCTATTTTCCAAAAATATTTTACCAATAAAAATACTACTTATTAATAAACAATTAAACAATCTGTTACGAGGTAAAGTTTTGTTTCACATATTAAGTGTAGTTTAAGCAATTAAGGATCTTATAATTGACCATCTATTATTTTCATCATCTGTCAAATGTGTATTTCTATAGATATTCCATGCTAATTTCAAACTATTTTTAAAACCAATACATGTAGGTAAAAAGTTTTTTCTCTTAGACAAATAAATATATCTTTCCAATTCTAGAAACAATTTGTCATATTTAAAATCTTTAGTTTCTGTACCTAATATGAATGATTTACAACAAAGAACATCATCAAATTTATGTAAGTTTTCTCTAAGATATTGAAATAGGCTTTGAATTTTCTGACATTCCCAAAATAAATGTAAAAGTGTTTCTTCACAGCATTTACAAAAAGTACACATTTTATTGTCAACAATTTTCATTTTAAACAAAAGTGAGTTTGTAGCTAAAGTTCTATGAATAATTCTTGTTTGGAACCACTGAATATATGAATCTTTAGAACATTTGAAAACATAACTATATATTAACTGCCAATTAATGTTATTATCTTTAAAACATGTGTTCCACCTTTCTTGACTTGTAGGTATGTCTGAATTTTTAGCTATAATTTCATAAACATATTTCTTATTGTTATTCATAGTTAAAATAGGTTTAACATAACAATTTATTATAGGATATTGAACATTAAGCAAATTGTTACTAATAAAAATATTTAACTTTTGCATGTACATTTTTATTGCCTGTTTTAAACTATGATACTGTAAAAAGTTCACAGGTTTACCTGTGACCTGTTCTAAATATATCAAATCTACAAAGTTACCCTGTTCATTTATAATATCTTTTACAAATCTGATTCCTTTATTATATAATGTCTGAATGTAAATATATCTATTTCCTGCTAAAAAGTTGTGATTGTAAAAAAGTGGCATATGTAATACTTGCTCTATATTATCTATACAAAGTTTATCTACAAACACCATATAAGCTTTTAAAACATCAATCCAGAAAGAATTTGTTATTTTACTAATAATCAAATTACAAAACATCTTTCCAGTGTTAAAAATTTTATCAATACTAAACAATGTGTTTACTAGCTTATAACATTTACTTTTGCTATTACTAACATATCTTTTAAACCATTTTATCTTTAAACTATGAATATAACTGTAAATATCAACCATGTTTAAACCACCTTCTATGTATGTTTTAATAAGTACTGATTGTTTTATTTTTGCCTTGCCCTCCCAAATGAAATCATAAAACAAGTCATTAAGTGTTTTCAAAAATACAGTATTTGGTGTTGGTAGGCTTGTGAAACAGTGAGTAAATAAAGGAAGCAATATTGACTTAATAACAGCAATTTTTCCTATTGGAGTTAATATTCTCTTTTTCCAGTGAATGATACTATTTTTTACTTTTTGAAGTTTTTCATTAAAATTTAAGTCAATCATTTTTTCTAAATCAACATCAAATATTAAACCTAACAATTTGAACTGAGTATCACCCCAAGTTAATTTCCATCTTGTCTTAATGGACCGAGTACTATATTTAAGAGAGCCTATCCAAATAACCTTAGTTTTGTCAAAATTTATCTTTAATCCAGAAATTTCTGTAAACTTACTTAATAACTTTAAAGCAGTATTTAGAGATTTTTCTGAAAAAACTTAATATAAGCCGTTTTAAAAAAAAATCCATATTTCAACGTCTATAATAATACACTAATAATAATATAATAATGTATTATTATACAGTAGACGTTGAAATATGAATTTTTTTCAAAACGGCTTATAGATTCTATTAAGTTTTTTTATATATATGATCAGTACATGTGATCATGTAAAAATTTATTTGGATTTTAAAGGCGTGGTCTACACAATATGTGTTAATTAGTCTGTAAAATTCTATAACATTACTGTAACTGTATAGTAAATTTAATAAAATTTTTATGTGTTTTGTCATAGAAAATAATTGTTTTTTTATCTACTTGATTAGGGTAATCATATATGATACTAGTATACATGTAGCAGACATTAAAAGTTTTATGTTGAAAATGGTAGATCTAGATAAATAAATGTTTTATTGATATTCATCATAATAATGAGGTAATTTAAAAGAAATACTAAATAGGCAGTAGTAAATAATTTAACTGATTATACAAATATCTTCATCATTTCATACAAGCCTAATCAAACTTGTGTAAATTATTTGACTTGTTTTATAGACATTTTTTTGCATCTTATCTAATGCCAAATTCACAAATGGGCCATTTTTTTTTCAAATCCATGTTACAATTATAGGCCTTGGAGAGAGTCCTATTATTCTCTCAAAGAAGTGTAAAAAATTTCAACTTGTTGGAATAGGAAAATATCTGAGGTGGTACACCAACTTTAATGTACGGTAAATTCCAAGTCAAAAAAGGGGCATAATTCTGTCAAAATGCTTGATAGAGTTACCTCCTCCTGTCTACAAATGGGGGCATGATGGTTAACAAGTGTGCACAGTTTCAAAGCCGTATGTTGTGGACTTTGAAATGTTTGAGGTGGTACGCAAACTTTAACATACGTGGTTAAGCTGACGCTCGGGTGACTAGGATAGCTCTACTTCTCATCAAATAGTCGAGCTAAAAATCCCTTGATGCATGATAGACTTATGAGCTAGACATATTTTTCCAACATATGCATGGGTGAGCCGGATGACATGATATGCTGTAAATATTTGTGCTAATTTGTTTTGAAAATCTCTTGATGCTTGACCGATAAAGAGCGAACAATATTTTTTGTAATTGTTAACCTTTGACCTCTAAGTCTGACCTTCACATTGAAGGCAGGGGTCTGGGCTTGTGCATGACAGACCATTCATTATGCTTAACACTTACCAACTGACTTCAAAATCCCTTGATACATGACAGAGTAATGGGCCGGACAAGATATTTTAACTGCTGACCTTTGACCTCAGTGTGACTTGAAGCTGGGGGTCTAGGTCTTGCACATGAAACATGGTCTTATCATGCTACACATTTGCGTCAAGTTATTTCAAATTCTTGATTTATGACAAAGTTATGGACCGGACACAATTTTTTAACTGCTGGTCTTAGACCTCAAACTATGACCTTACAGCTAGAGGTCTAGGTCTTGCCCATGACACACCATCTCAGCATGCTTAATATCTTTGCTAAAATGTTTTAAAATCCCTTAATGCATGACAGAGTTATGGACCCAATAAGGTTTTGAAACACATACATGCACATAACGACAGTAGTAACACTACTTGGCTCTTGCCATTATTGGTCACTAGGTCCTCTCAGCTGAATATTCAGTAATTGTCAACACATGATCACCTGTAGCAGTGCAGATTATGCTAAGAGTATTCAGCATTGCACACAAGTACTTTCAGCTTAACAGACAATCACTTTAAAGCAGCAATCCACCAGATTCATACTCATTTTCACACAATAGGGCCAAGATGGCCCTAGACAATCACCTGACCAATCAAACTTATCAGAACATTTACTTAGACAAGCATCCTGACCAAGTTTGATGAAAAATGAGTCAAAAATGTGACCACTATTAACAAGGTTTTTACAAATTTGAGCAGTGTGACCTAGTTTTTGACCCCAGATGACCCATATTTGAACTTGACCTAGAAATCATCAAAACAAACTTTCAGACCAATTTCAAGAATATTTGTATCAAAACAGTAGCCACTGGAGTGTTAACAAGATTTTTCTATTTTTAGCTCATGTGACCTAGTTTTTCATCCGAGAATGTTCACTCATCTAAACAATTACATAGACAAGCATCCTGACCAAGTTTGATGTTATTGAGTCAAAAATGTGACCTCTAGAGTGTTAACAAGGTTTTTCCATATTTGGGCAGTGTGTCCTAGTTTTTGATCCTAGGTGACCCATATTCGAAGTTGACCAAGAAATCATCAAAACAAACTTTCAGACCAATTTTCAGCATATTTGGATTAAAACAGTAGCCACTCGAGTGTTAACAAAATTTTTTTTATGTCCTGTGACATAGTTTTTTATCCGCAATGACCCATGTTTGAACTCATTCCAGCAATTAATTAGACAAGCATCCTGACCAAGTTTGATTACATTCAACGCTCCTAAAAGCTTACCCTGAGTTAGCTCAGGTGAGCTAAAAACTTTCGAAAATGTATTTAAAAGTAAAATACAAAATGTATTATTAAGTGAATAAAGAAAGTAATTCAAACATTGCAAACACCACATACAACCCACAAGTCATTCATAACGAAAATATTATTGTCAATATCCATTAGAATGTGGTTTTTTTAATATGGTTTAAGTTTTAAAAAATATCCAATTAAATCTTTGCAGCAAATCATGTAAAATATGACATCAGTAAAGGCCAATATGGTGAACTAGCACATTATAAATAAATATAACATGTTTGACAAAAGAAATAAGGAAAATTGTTCTTTCTTTTCAGATTTATTCAGGATCATCATATCTTATATACATAAAATTTTATAAATACAAAATGTATCAACAACATTTACTCATTGCACAAGAAATGAATTACAATTTTTTAGTGAGGAGACAATCAAAGTTGTCACAATGATGAAGTATGATTGTTACTGACAGCCATGTAAGTTCACCAACAATCTGACTAAAGTTCACATCTTCTTATCTTTAACATACAACTTTTTTAACCTACAGTGTATAACGGATTTCCCTTGAATAACGTTTGGAACAGTCTATTCAAAGTTTAATGGGTAACAATTATTTGTTTAGTTGGGTTTTACGTTGCACCAACACAGTATAGGTCATATGGCAACAGCTTTACTTAGAAATACAAAAATTGAGTTATCAACAATATTAGAGCCTGGTCAGACTGCATAGAAGTTCAGACTGGCCTGGCTCTATACTGGCAAGTGACAAAGGCTGATCACAGTCAGTCCCGGCAGGTTAAAGAACTGAATTTATTTTAATCGACTTCACTATCATTTTGTCTGAAATACCAATTATTAAAAACTGTGAATTTTTTATACATATATCATTATCAAAACACATGCAGTCTTAATAGCATTTAATTGAATATAGTCTTTAACTTGAAATAGGAGTAACATGTATAAAAGTAATATTTCAAGAGGTCTGAACATGTCCTCCCAACAAATTGCTGTTTATCTTACATACAAAATATCTGTATGTGAAATCACCAACCAACCCTTTAGAAAATCATAATGGTACATGATCTATGTTTGTATATTTATTTTTTCACCAAAAGATTCATTGTTTTCCAGTTTTCATTAAAAAGGCATAGAAATGCTGTTTTTGATTTTTCTGATATCATGACCTTTAAAATATTTATCAGTTATCACTGTCCAATAAAGTGCAGTAAAATATGACATTTCCAAACTGAATGTCAAAATGTTCAATATCATTAATGATTGACATGAACATTATCAATTTCATTCATATTTAGATTATCGATAAATAACAACACTTTACTGAAACACAGTTTAGAAATAAATGTAACTTTCGTTAAAATTCCTGCAATGAATCATTATAAATCTCACAATAAAAGATAATTTAGTACAATATAATTTAAGAATGTGTTGTGTTGTAGTCCCTGGTATATACAGATCTGTTCCAACATCATTCTTCTAGAGTAATATCTGTCTGTTGTTCTATCTCTCCACTCTCAGTACACATGCACCATCCCATACAAAAATGTCCAACACAACACATACGTCTGATAAATGTATGTTAAGGAAAAAACATTTTTCTTTTCTTTAATTAAAAGAGAAATATAAGAATGTGTCATTACCAGAAAATGTATAAAGTTCTTTCCATACTGTGAAGTATTTAACTATTCTGTAAAGAATAAAACATTTTATGACTGCATAAACTAAAATATATATGCTATTATATAAATATCTATATGATTCAAAGGAAAGTTTTACCTTGAAGAATTTAATTTTCATTCAATGTTCTGAACAGTCTTAACTCATTTTTTAACTCTGTTATTGGAGACAATTAATCAACATTCTCTAGTCTTGGACAGTATGGTACATGTATATTGAAAGAAATAATGAAAAATTAACAAAAAATATTTTAAGTAATGGGTATGGTGACCTATGGTAAACAAACGTTACATAATCACCCATCCAGTTACTGGCGCCTATATATTATTAAAGGATACAAAAAGGCCTCCAAATAGACCTTTTGTGACAAGATCACGCCTTGATATAAAATATTTGTTCCAACTTGTACCAGCTTTGGTCATCAAGAAAAACTGAAAATAATTATAAAATAATTTGAATGAGAAGTAACATACAACAAAGGCATCATCTTTACGGGGCCAGTTTAAACCCCATGGCTTTTATTTGAACAAACTTGGTAGACACCCATTAGAAGATGTTTCATGCTAGACATCAAAGGTCTAGCTCGTTGGATTTTTTAAAAGAAGTTTTTTAAGTTTTTTTTTTACAAATATATTTAAAAACAATGACACCCCTGGGGCAGGGCCAGTTTTGACCCCAGGGCTTTTATTTGAACAATCTTTGTAGGCACTTACTAGAAGATGTTTCATGCTTAATATCTACACTCTAGCTATTCAGCTATTCGAAGAAGATTTTTAAGTTTTTGCTATACACATATAGGGAAAATCAATGTCCCCCGGGGCGGGGCCAATTTTGACCCCAGGGCTTATATTTGAACAAACTTGGTAGACATCCATTAGAACATGCTTCATGCTAAATACCTAAGCTCTAGCTCTTTGGGTTCTTTAAAAGAAGATTTTTAAGTTTTTACTATATGCATATAGGAAAAATCAATGACCCCCTGGGGCGGGGCAATTTTGACCCCAGGGCTTTTATTTTAACAAACTTGGTAGACACCCATTAGAAGATGTTTCATGCCAAATATCTAAGCTCTAGCTCTTTTGGTTTTTTAGAAGAAGATATTTAAAGTTTTTTCTTTTGGTTGCCATGGCAACCAGAGTTCTGCATGGAAGTAAATTCTTTGAACAATTTTCAAAGGTGATCACCAAAGGAACATTCCTGTGAAGTTTGGATGAAATTGGCTTAGTGGTTTTATGAGGAGATATCATTTAAAGTAAAAGTTTACGGACGCCGGACGGACACCGGACGAAAAACGATCACAAAAGCTCACCCTGTCACAAAGTGACAGGTGAGCTAAAAAGGTCATATAGCAGCTTTTCTGCCTTGCTGGAGGAGGAAGACATCAGTTTCCCCTAAGTGCATTATTTCTGGCACGGAAGGGTACCCAAGTAGAATAACACGGGAGGGTACCCAAGTAGAATAACACGGAAAGGTACCCAAGTAGAATAACAGTCAGCTTGCTGGAAAGCTTCCTCACATGAAAAAATTGTTTGAACTCCTCGGGATGAGGGGCAAGTGGATCATCTTAATGACTTGGCCGGGAACACTCATCATTATTTCAACAATGATCAGAAATTAGTATTTGACAGTTCTTTAAGTAAAAAAGGGAAATTATGTAAAATTTTAAATCAATGCTGGAATTTCTTCTTGCAAAATGAGCTTTGAGATGAGTAACAGAACATTCACAATAAGTCAATGTAATGTATACTAGCGGGTGTATTCTTTTATTTTTCTCAGTATTAAACATATATTTTTGCTGCATTATCATTATTCAGTGTAAATGGATTTTTGTTTTTAAGTTAAAAGAATCACACCAAATACACATTCAGCTCTGAAAGTCAAAAACTACACAGCTCTGAAAGTCTATAACTCTATTAATCATTTCTAATTTGTAATGTTGAGGCAGCACACCACACTAAATGAAGCCGCAGCTTCGAATGGCCAGGAGGATTTCATGGATATAGTGACTATTGTGGATTTAAATGACTGGTTGTCTTTAAAATGCATTTTCAGCATGAAATTTGTTTTTGTGACATGTTATATGATCATTGGCAAATTCGAAAACATGGTTAGAAATCACATGCTGATAATTATTGATGTCAAGGTCGCCATTGTTTGTAAACATTGCTTTTAAACAGCATGCTCGGTGAAAAAAAGTAATTTTACAGGGGGGTACAAACTTTCAGCAATAGCAAAAAATCTACAAGGCCAAGCACCTATTTCTTTGTGATATTTTGCATGCACAGGGAGTTGCTAAAGCAGTGACTGAGTTTTTGTAGACCGTATATTTGCAGGTATTTTTTGCCGGAGGTACGAAAAATGTTGTTTTGGGTCTCGGACCACTATAGATTTTTGGCTTTTACGGAATGAATTGGATTTTTTTTAACTGCCTGACTGTTGCACATGGGATGATTTCATTACAGATTTGCAATGGTATGACATATATGTTCTTAACAAAATGTGTTTTCTTTTTCCAGGTTGTTTAGTTTGGGATCAGATTTATCAGACATATTGCTTGTAGGACATTGACGACAGAAACTTGAAATTTAGTGTGGAGTGCTACCTTAGTTTAGGCAAGTTTGAAGATAAGATATATACTTACTGATAATACAAAAGCCATGATGAAGTAAAATGCAAATCCATATAGTGCTGTAAGACCAAGGACACCTGCTGCAGCTCCTGATAGTGCAGACATTGATGTTCTACAATAATCTAATATACCATTGTTTGTACGCACTGCTAACTCATTATATGCTGTTGGCTCTACAATAAAAATATGTTAACTTACATGACAGTTACAAGCACCATTTTAAAAGATTCATAGGGAATTGATATTTACTTATATTTTTAAAACTGTAATATAATATTAAGAACTTCAAATAATTTCTTCAAAGTTTACTTAACCAAGGGCTCTTGTTGCCAAATAATTAACATAATCTTCACATCACTTTATTTTGGGGGGATCACACCACTGTGAATTTGAGGAACAGTTAAATCTTTATAAGGAGACACCTATTAAGCTGGCAATCTGAAGGTTGTTGGTATACTTAGGCGTCAAGTGCTTTCCTGAATGTATGATTGACTGATTGAATGAATGAAGTGAATGAATGGGCACCTGCAGGTCATGATGTTTTCTTTCAAAAATAAGGTCAGTACACCATGATGACATTTACCAACCAGAGTCATTATACATAAAATGTGTTACTGTTAGCCATATTTTACTGAAAGTTAACATACTGTTTATGTGATATTTTGTGCAGCTGGTCTAGAGTAAGTCCTATAACTATAAGTATGATGTTGCTTTGAGATATTTTTACTTTTTGGTTTTGACCATCATAAACTATAACAAGCCTGTAACGTCTATACAGGCTGGTTAAAATGCCCCTTTGGGCTTATCACATAAAGTATTAGAGCATTTATAAAGAAGTTATTTAACCTATTTTGTTTCATACTTTGCATAATTTTATGAAACATATTTTTTACAGATTTCAAAAATTATGTTATATAAAAACATGATAAAGGGGAAATAATTCTCACAAAAGTGACAGTAACCATAAATTTTTCTTTTTGGGAGCACTATTTGAATCTGACAGCAGCAAAAGTCTAACCCTTACCCTTCTAGCTTAGCTTAGTTAAAACTTAAGACTTTTGCTGCGGTCAGATTCTAAAAGTGCTCCTATCTTCCATTAATGTTAAGCCCTTTGCGGGATGTAGACATGACTATAAACTAGTAGTCACTTCAGAAACAGCTATGAGATACAAGGGAATACGGGAATCAGTCCCTAGGTCTTACTGAATAGACCCCTTGGTTCTTTTACATGCCCAGTGTATAGCACTGATAGGGTGAGAGTGGTTTCGTCGAACTACCGTCTTATATAATAAACAGGTAGTGGTTTCGGCGAACTTAATTTATATAGTGCAAACAATATCTATTGTATAATGGGCACGCCAATTATCATGGTTTATCACACATTTTCATGCAATTAAAGACAAGATTTCGAAAATTTAAACCTATTATTTATTATTTTCTTTAGTATAATTTAGTAATATTTACATAAAACATTACACAATTGACCTTTTCGAAAACCTAGCTAAACACCGTTTTCCGGTACGTTACGGATTTAGCTCTGGGGAATTACACCAAATGAAGTACGTAACACAGTTACATGATATTTCTATCTTTCTATCTAATTTTACCATTTAAGGTGAAAAAAATTGATGTATTTGAAAATTATCAATATTCTTTTAATATTCTATTGCAAATTTTTCAAAAAATAAATTGTTTATAATAAAGTTAATGAAAATCAATAAAATAAAAACATACATAGTGGAATCTTCCATAATAAATAAAGTTATTTACTGCGTAAACTTGTGTATTTACTTTATTTTTTGTATGGAATTATTCATACAATGATGTTTAACTATATTCTTATAAAGAAATAACTGTTTTATTTCAATTTAATTTTAAAAAAGGCCGAAAACATCGAGTTCGCTATTATACTCCATTAGGTGAATTCCCCAGAGCTATGTACAGAAAGTACCGGAAAACGGCGTTTAGCTAGTAGTGATTATTCTAGACTTGAAAAAGGGGCAGGGAGGCATCAAACAGGGGCAGGGTGGAACATGTGTCAATACATATAGTTTATGACCGTTATGATAATCATGGTCAGATAACTCATATCTTATCAGCAGATTAATTACCTCCCTTTATCTCAACACTTTCTGGTTACTTGGTTCAGTGTGGTGTTTATTTTCTATTTTTATGGTGATAGTGTCAATAGTGTGCATCAGCTTCTTATGATTCACAGAAATGATTGAAAGAACTGTTAAAAAGTGGCACAGCTTAAAACCAAGACGGATAAACTAAGAACTGTTTGTGACTGAAATAATAGCTGCATGTACCTCAAGAAGGTGAATAGTTCTGTATGCCACCCAGGCAAAAAAGTGATTAGACAATTATATATTTAATTGTGTTACAATGAACAGCTTAACTCTGTGTGTGCTAAAAATGTTGTGAACAATTTTAAACAAAATGTCATATTTGTTTGTTCATGTGTATTTTTGAAGGTTTCATGTTCACTTTTCTCATGACTGTCCTCTGTCCTATTTTTATAGATTTAAAGCTCATGGAAATTATATTTCAATGAAAGAATTGTACTGTCTGTATATTTGTATCAATGACTTTATTGCAGGGCTACATTTACATTGTCACATAGTGACATTTTATGTATATTTTAAGGTTTCATGTTAAAAACTTTCATAACTTGGAATTTGTTTCATTATTTGAATCTGTACTTTGAGCAGTGATAATTGGTTCGTTACTTTGGGTCACTCTTTAATAATATAGCAAGACTGGTTAATTTTCTAAATAAATTTGAGTTATAAAACAATTTCAAGTCATTGAAATTACTTCAGTCATCTTTTATATTTCACAATAACAGTCACATTTAGCTAAAATCAATGTATGTGTAAATTTATCATGTACTGTACTCTGTAGAGATGTTCAAAGAAAAACCAACGATTTTATCTTTATTAAGTAAATCTAATTTCGAATCGATTGAAATTGATTACAAATTGTCATTATCTTGCAATTCATTATGATATTTCACATATGATTTTACAGGTAACTAATAGATTCTAACTGTAGTTGTTTCTGTACTATTTCATAAAAAAAAAAAAAAAAATCTCCCGACTTTCAACCGCAGAAAAACGGTTAATCTGTAGATTAATAATTCATTCAATTCATTAAAATGTCTTACAGCTAGAGACAAATATTCGCTTATTCATAATTGTCTTTGTTTATTTTCTGTAAAATTACCGTACGATTAGTCTAAACAGTCTATGTAACGAACGGCTTGCAGTACAGGACCGTACTTCAGTCCAGGGCCGTACTGCTAGTGTAGTGGCTTCGTACACAAATTATTTCAGTCGCCTCCTCTTATACAAATGTTGAATTGCAAGGGAGAAACACATTTAAAATCGATTCTTAGCAAATGTGAATAACTTTTATCGTACCTTTCTTTAGCTCCAAAACAGGAGGAAATACTGTGGTTTGTTTTGCGAATTTTCGCACGCTCTTTTTCAATTTCTGCAAATTTCCTTTTCGCAGATGGCATTTTGTTTCTCAAATGAACAACTAACTAATAAAAACCATAACACCCGTCCTTATGACTTTAAAGATTCTTTACGCAATTATAGAGATTAATATGTGTAAACAATTAAATGTAATTACCTGTACTTTTATCCCAATGAGCGGCATGTTTCAAAAGTATACGAATTTTTACCGACATTCATCACACAATCGTGTGAACAAACAAATTAGGGAATGCATTACAATTTGATTGTCTCCGTAAATCATTGCCATTTTAACCACATATTATCAATCAGTCGGTAATGTTCCTTACTAATCATTTCAAACTGTAGCAAACATAGCTAATTTGATCACGGGGCCGCTTCACACGGCCCACTTCACATCGGTCAGTCAATTGTTATCGCCGTGGGGCACCCAGTTTGTATATTGGAGCGTGTCAACATCATAATCTTATCTTATATATAAGTGATTGGCAGTTTTTTGTGTATCTTATACATATTGATTGGGTATAGGTAAAAGAGGGCAGCGGGGCGCATTTAAGTATACGGGCGGTGTTTTAGAGGCAAAAGGGCGGACTTAAAAAGGGGCAGGGCGGAGCGCCCTGTCATTCCGCGCTAGAATAATCACTAGGCTAGGTTTTCGAATTCGTGAATACAAAAAGAGCAACATCATAGAAATATATACACGTATATAAGTAAAACCTGGAAATAAAACAAATAATGATTTAAAATTTATAACAAATATTCGACGAAACCACTTTCGCACCTCTTCTGACTCTTCATAAATAAGTTCGCCGAACCGGTAGTTCGACGAAACCACCATAATTCCACTGATACATGCTTTCTTACCAGTACACCTCTAGTTAGGTGGGAAACACTGAGTGTCTCACTCTCTAAAAAATCCCAATGGTGTTACCCAGGATCGAACCTGGGACCTCAGGAGCAACAGCCACTGGTTTAACCTTACCCATAACACTTACCTAACCCTTATAGTAATCTGAGTGATTTTGTAGATATTGAATTGACCTTTTCGAAATCCTAGCTAAACACCGTTTTCCGGTATGTTACCGTTTTAGCTCTGGGGAATTTCCAGTGTTTCTGCCAGCTCTGATTTTCTGAGGGTCTTTTATGACCCCCTGTATGATATTTTAGGGGTCATTTCAAATTCATAAGGGTCATGCCAATAAATTTAACAAAAATGTAAAAAAAAACAGGTAACACTTTATAAGTTTTATTTACAATATTTTGTATATTTTTCGTGAAGAAATTGGTCAATCTCTGCTATTTTGGATTATTTGTCATCCAATAATAACGCTGTATTTCTTAAAAATTATGTGTATTAATTTTCATAGAAGAAAGAAAGTCGATACTATATTGAAATTCGTTCATAGTCGCCTTCTATTTTTCATAGTGCTTCATAGTACCGCCTAGTGACGTAATCAAGGGCCAAATAAAGCTTGACACTAAATATGTTAGTGTTCATCCTTAGCTGTTTTACAGAAATTAGAAACATTCTCCTGTCGCTATTGCTCCCTTCGAAGTTTCTAATTTCTGTAGAACAGCACAGATGAACACTAACATATACGCAGACTGCATTTTCCAGCAGACAGTTATTCGTTCGCAGAATATGACGACAACAAAATAAATAATTTTGTCTGGGCGCTTTCAATATATGCAGCAACGTATAAATGCAAGCGTTTATTAACTAGTTGAAATTGGCTAAATGCCGGGCCACGGACCCGGTAAATTTCATTTCTCATTAAAATTATAGTGGAGCCCACGGTAAACATTCCGTACATTTTTATACTGAATTGACGGTTTATAGTCTGTATATCTGACTTGTGTTGAAATCAGCGACGGTGAAATTCTTGCGTCACAAAATACGCACTAACTAAATTTCATTGCGTCATGGCTGAAAATAGTGCGCCAAAAACGCAAAAACGCGCTCTGGCAGAAACACTGAATTTCACCAAATGAGGTACATAACACAGTTACGTGATATTTCTATTTTTCTAATATTATTTAAGCGTTTAAGATGATAAAATTGATGTTTTTGAAAATTATCAATATTCCTTTAATATCTATTGCAAATAATTCAAAAAAAATAAATTATTTATAATGAAAATCAATAAAATTCAAACAGACGTAGTGGAATCCTCCATAATAAATAAAGTTATTTTCAGCGTAAACTTGTGTATTTACTTTATTTTTTGTATGGAATTATTCATACAATGATATTTAATTATTTTCTTATAAAGAAATAACTGTTTTATTTCAATTTAATTTTAAAAAAGGCCGAAAACATCGAGTTCGCTATTACACTCCATTAGGTGAATTCCCCAGAGCTATGTACAGAAAGTACCGGAAAACGGCGTTTAGCTAGGTTTTCGAATTCGTGAATAAATAATATTGGGCCGGCGTAAAAAATGTCATTGAACAGCTATCTAAGAACATCTTACTAGGATAAATGAATGTGAATGTTTTAACTTCAATAAAATATCATAATAAAAAAAATGTTTCCGACTCAGTTTTTTTATTTAAATCAGCAAACCTCTTTTAGTTTTCTGCTTCGTTTTCACTGCAATGGTAGTCGCCATTTTGAAAGGGAAACAATTCTTGTATTCATCGTTATCTCCCGTCCAATTACGTTCCATAAATCGATATGTGAATAATCAATTCAATTCAATTCAATTTTTTTACTCATTGTTGAGTTACTTTTCTTAAAATTACTCATTGTTGAGTTATTTTAGATAAATTATTTAAAGTATTGCTGGATGTGGTGGAGTTATAGTTTATGTTCGGCCAAATTATGAAAAAAGTACGTGTACAGTATGGCTTTAATTTTTTTCTCAAATGCAGATAAGAATCTACTAGAGAAAAAAAAAATGATATTCACTTTCAATCTGTCTCATACTACAAAGTTACACAGTCTGTCCGCTCTTATTAAATTTTCTTATCTTCCTTTTTCAATACGTAAATTTTGAGATCGGAGTCTTTCAAATATATGTAGTTCTTTGCTGGTTTCCTAGCAGTTTCTGGTCCAAAATTGTACATTTTAACACCTAAAATACAGACGAGTGTAAAACTTTCACAGAACAAAGTTAGGTACCTGTCCAGCATTACCTTGTTTTCAATATTGCTCTTATACGCTGCGTTTAATTGGAATATAGGCTTAAGTAAAACACATGTTCTCTCTTTTATTCAAAATTTCATAGCAGTTTTTCGGACCTTTTTATTTTGAATATATATAATTCAGGACCAGTACGAAATGTTAAGATGATTTTTAAGAAAGAAATGGAACTTCCCGACCTTTTCCGTGTCGTCTGCAAATATAATGTTCAACAGTATTGATTTACCTGGAATGGGGTTTCAGTTATTGCGCATGGGTTAAACTAAAATTCCCCAGGTGTGGCTTTTTTTAAATTTTGTCTCATGTTCTCTGTGGTAACTTCAAAATATATAAATCGTTGTACTGTTTCAACTGCTGTGTTGCAAAGAAAACAAATGTCTCTCTGATTTGATGAGGTAAACAGAGCTGTCCTATTGGTAAAATAGACTGTACAGAACGAAAATGATAAAGGGCCGGAAAACGGCTAGGGCCCGGAAACTGATAGGAAACCAGTAGCCAGTATTCTTTTATAAGGATTGTTTACCTTATGATAAAAATTTTACCCAGAATCTTAATATAATTATCTATCTTTGTATGGGAATCTCCCTGTTTTACCATAAAGTACTGACGGTATGTCACATGCTGATCTCCTTCTATTTCTTTATACCATGTTCATAAAACATTCCACGACCACGAATTTATCGAAAGATTTTGTAAATGGAGGAAAACGGCGATAATCTTGATGTTTATTTCGGCTGTTGCGTTGTTTATATTACCGTTGAAGTTTAAAATTGACCATCATCGTGAAGAATTATATATTCTGTGTCGATGGACCAAAGGATTATGTGAAAATATTGGAAATGGAATAAAATACATGGTAATTATATGACGGTAGGGGTGCGGATTTTTTCCGGCGAACATGTTTATCTTGTGTATTATTATAGATGTTGAAATATGAATTTTTTCAAAACGGCTTATAGTAAGTTTTTTTTGATATATATGATCAGTACATGTGCTGGGATTGACAAATAAGCATTTTATTTGGATTTTAAAGGCCTTTTGAGCTCCAAATCCCATGTGTCTGTGGAAAATCCGCTATGAGGTCGTGACAAGTCTGGTCAGATAGACCTATTCATGTAAAACATCACGTGCAAAGATAGACCTGCCTTCGTGCAGACTTAAATAAACATTAAATGTAATCAGAAGTTAAAAAATGTAAATCGTGATAAAAAAAATTAACAAAGAAAAAAAATTATGAAGATAATGTTAAGTGAATACAAATACATATATTGAAGTTTTCAATAAAGATATATGTAATGGAAAGTCTTTGAAAGCGGAGACACATTTGAGATTTATTTAATTGCATCATTTTTCAAAGCAATAATCAAAGCGGTTCTTCCGGCCTTAGTTACATTCACAATTTTGACAAAATTGAATGCTTGAAGTTTACTTCTATAAAACTATAATAATTTGTAATATTTTCATAACGACATTTAAGTCAAATAATTCGTAAAAAGTTAACGCTCTAGAAAAATTACTACACATACAAAAATGCCAAAACAGAGAGAAGTCATAGTTGATATCACCCACTTGGCTAGGGCTTTGTTATAATGAATGCTACTTTGTTAAAGACATTTCATATTGACGAAGTCCAAACCTTGCCTATAGCGACAGATTATCATTGGCAATTGCACATTCAACATCTTTTATCATCACATTTGAAGCGGCATGCCTGATTGCCAGATTGATGCTTATATTTATTTTTTTAAAGAAAAAAAACAAAGTAAGTAATTTACGTATTGCAATTGATTTTTTTACATAGATCAGGTGAGGCTCTCGAGGCAGAAAGATAAACAGAAGAGAATTAAAAAAAAAAATGTTCAGAAATTAATCGAAAATCGTATTTTTGTGCTGTTCTTAGTCCGTTTGAGGGGAAAAACATTGCGACGCTTTTCAATTTTGTGTCATTTTTCACAATTAAAATAAACATTCTGGAAAAAGTATAATGGATTTGGAACAGTCCATTTGAATTTTTAATGATTTTAAAGGAACTCCACTAAAGTACAATAGCTTAAAAACATAAAAATTATATTTTGTACATAAAATTATCTGAGGAAGATATGTGTAAATGATCATTTAGAAATTTACTCAGAAACTTGTTGAAAATTGTATTTTTGTGATAGTCTTAACCCGATTTAAATGCTTTTCAATTTTGGGTCATTTTCACAAAATAATTATTCTGGAAAATCAACATCAACAATCTAAATATTTATAACAAAACTCTTTACCTTATCTTGATTCAAAACTTAATGATAGAGTATTGAATGGAATCATTTGCTAGTTATTATTTGACAAGTCTATTTCTATATTTTATTTAACTGCGTTGTTTTTAAAACTTGCGTTGGGCCAAAAAGGAAACATGCATTAGACAGTCCAAATACAATTTTCTATCATTTTTTTTAAACATTACATTATTTTCATAAAGTCTGGAACACTTCAATTCTGGTGAGTAGGGGCAAAACTCTAGTACTTGTATTAGAATTACGCGCGTTTCAACAATCAAACAAAAACGCGGTTTCAAATTTGGGAGAAAACAACACTTTTTTGTAAACACTTTTTATATGGGTTCCTCACTAAAATAAGCTGACTACACTTAATCCCATAGAAAATAATAAAATGTTTAAAAAGTTACAAGGTAGTAAATTAAACCTACATACTGCCTTTTGTATTGGTTATCTGCACCACGCAGTAACGTGGAATAAACACCGTGATCGTTCATGAATATTTGTTTCATATTTTGCAACCCAAACATATCATGTTCCTATATATATATATATAAACAAAAAAAAACTGAATTCTAACGTTCAGCAATAAACCTATTTATTTGTTTATAAAAAAACAACAATAAAAAACAGATGATTCTTTTCCAGCTCCTTTCACAGCTAGGTGCCGTATATGCGATTTGATTCTCGGTATAGGATAATTTCATTTTCAAAATCGTACATGAGGTCTAGGTGACTAATAAAATCTTGCTGGTTGTTTCAAATCAAACCTTGAATTCAGCAAATCTTTCATGGTATTTAGTTATAAATCACATGTACCTTTGATGGCTGATTTGTTCAAATTGCGTACTTAACATTGATATTTATTCATGGTGATATTTTGCTTTGCAAGGATTTCACTATTATCCTGTCATTGAAAGAGCTTGATATGAATTTCTATATATTGTAAATAAGAATTGAGTGTTCTTCATTCTTAAATACTACCCATGCTTAATTTTGGTAAAGTTTCCTTGGTAACAAAAGTATTATTTTGTTTCCCTTATCTGACGTTATTATTGGAAAATTGAAAAAGTATGAATCGTGTCAGTACTTTATAGAGGATATTGAATGAGTGTAAGCTTAATACTGAAATTATTGCACGAGTTGGATAAAATTAAATTATGCGAGCCTCTGGCGAGCATAATATTATTTTATTCAACGAGTGTAATAAATTCAGTAATGAACTTACACGAATTTAATATTCTATTTATCACATACCCAAAATAAAGACAGTTTAAAGTTAAATAAGAGTCATTTTTCATTGACGCGCCTATAGTATAACGCTAACATTTAGCACGTCTTTACACTATGTTTGTATTTATAACGCTAATGACGTCACGTCAAAATATATGCACGGCCGTGCAATACCATATTTACGGAGTCGCAAAATCGGCACGGGTGTGTGATAAATATAAATACATAATAAAGTGACCAATGACTGGGCACTTTTAATAGAGCTATTTCGGACAAAAAGCTCATGCGTTAGTGATTTCCATTATGGCGGTCAACATTTGTCTACACGAGTTAAAGCACTTTCAATAGAGCTATTTAGGAGTAAAAGCTTGTGCACTGGTGAATTTGGTTATCGCGCTCAAAAATTTATCTGCACCGGTTAAATCCAGACTCAATCAATAACCATTGCTACGTCAACAGATATCTTAACTAAATCATTAATATATCAGTGTTTCTGTTGTAACTATATAGTTATAATGACGGACAATGTTTTACACATGATCAGGATCTTGTTAGGGCGGCTTGTCTTCAATGCTCTCGATCTTTCATCTTTAATATTATATTTTACATTAAATATTAACCTTTCCACTGAAGAATCAATGTCATTATTTAACCCCACTACACGGTGATAGTGCGTTTACCACAACTTTTCCGCGCAACGTCAAAATATCATACTTCTGACCGTGACACCGTATATTTCTGGACAAAATATTAATGGCGGGATAACCAAATTGCAGGCAATAGCTTACAAAATATTGTACTGCTGGACGTGCAAAATTATTCCAATTGTTTAAGTATTCCATCGAATTTTTGAAACAATTTATCGTTAATCTAGCACAACACAGTTCACAAAAAATTACATACTTCGAAGAAATAGTGTTTACAAAAGATCGTGTCTACCTCAACATGACTCGTACTTGTCATAAAAACATGTGTTAAAACGACGATGTATTTGTTCTATGACCTTACGAGCTCGTGTATACATTATGGTTAGGCATAAATTCAAGTTCCACACAAAATTGTGTGTTTCTATTGTAAATTTTAGGGAATATATGTTGTAAAAAGGCCTATTGACTCGAATACTGGAGCACCGTACAACACTGGATTTAAACACCGCATTCTTTTTCCGTTTGACCGATAAATACTGGAACCGTTTTCATTTGCACCATACTTTATAAGTAACTGTTAAATTGACCTGTTGTTATGTTATGTTGCTGTTATCATACGTTATTTTATGGAAAACTTCTGATGGTCTGGTCTATGTAAATAATTCTAGTTAGATAAGTGCAATGGTATCTATATAGATTTTTTTCGAACTGATTAGAAACATCCGTTTTTAACTCTCAATATCAAATGTGACTATATTTTATCATAAACAGGCACAGAGGAGTGTGGTAAAACTTGTACTGATGTCTATGCTGAATAACACTGACACAAACAGCTAAATACTTGATCGTTTTCTTCACTTCATTCTGCTGGGTGTGTTATATTTTTTTTTCTAAAAAAAATTGAACAAACTAAAAACCAGAGAAGCCACTTAATTTCAAAAAGGAACAACATATGTTACTAAAATCACACTTCACTGACATCTAGCTTAAAGAAAATGATCCATTTTTTTCAGGATCTTTCAAAAAGACAACCAAGTGTATATGCTTAATTACTGGGCAAACCTATGCACCGTAGACTGAACTATTCTATTATTATTTTACACCAGTACGTATGTCCTTTAAACCCTCTCCATGAATTTTTATCTTCGCAATATAAATCTCCGGCGTCTTTAAGTATTTTCTGTCATTACAAAAGCAATAAAATGGTGGTTAATGCATCATTTGATTTGTACTTTTCAAAAACATTTATTAAAAAGACTTCAATACGGTGAAACAGAATGTACTGTTAACAAATCAATTTATTTTAACAGGTAAATTGCAACCAGTATAAAGAAAATGAATCCAAAGTGATTTAGGCCTAATTTCTTATATGAATTACGTAAAATTTTACCCAAATACTGAAATAATACATCTTTATCATACATATTATTATTATATACAAACAAAGCTTTACGGATTGTCTTTAGACGTCAATTTAAACATATGAATAGTATGATTTCCAGGTAGTTCTGAACCAGCCAGACAAGGTTTATCAGCATTAAAATCAGATAAATGAATCTGACTCCCATTCAGATTCCACTGATCAAGCAAATGCTCGATTGTTCGTGATGAGCTCCTTTCCTGGTAAGTAAAGAGAAATTCTGATCCTCGATTTCTTTCCAAAAGGAAAGCCACTGTTGATATAATGTCTTCAAAGTCTTTTGTGTCGTAAAAACAATCTGATGCTATAATTATATCCAGAGAAGGTAATTGAAGCACGTCCGTACCAAACAGACCCCACGTGATCGCATGCACTTTGATATCGTTAAGTCCATTAGCAATGCAGGATTTTAAAGAATTGTTACTACAGTTTAACAAAGATTCGCTGTCACTGAGGTGTACAACAGCCCCACATTTCGCAGCTACTATTCCAGGAAGAGCCGTTCCAGCTCCTATTTCAAGAACGGTTTTTCCACGGAACTGCTCTCGGTTGTGCCAGATATACTGGGCAAGTGTTGGTGCTGAAGGCCAAGTGTACATACCATAATCCGCATCCAGTCTTTCTGGTATCAATACAGAAATTTCATCAGTATCATCAGAAAACACAAAAGTTCTCATTGTCGACGTAGGATCATTCACATGTGGATTAAACGCATACATCACCGTTTCAATTTTAAAATGAAGCATATCACTTCGCTTTAACAAACATTGTAGAGTTATGACACATGGGTATGACATATGAAAACAATCATATAAGATGATAGTTGAAATGTTGTCAAAAAAATACGCATCATAATTTCTCTTTAAGCACGTCGATTTTTAGATATACAAAATTTGCAAGTAGCATACGATAATTCCCGTATCAGACCGTATCGTGAGCTTGTTATTAAAGAAGTTTAGTTTTCTGGGATTAAAAAATCACTCACAGAACAACATATAGAATTTAAGTGAACTGTTAAAACATTGTATTTTATGCTTGGGCCTCTTATCCTAAAGAAGAGAAGACAATGAAGGTGTCAAATTGCCGTTGGTGATATTATAGGCAAGGTCGAGAAATGCTTGAGAAGATGTTTTTCAAGATGACAATATTACAAATTATGAAAATTTAAATTGATATATTTCTCAATTTCTTTTGATATAATATTTTATTTTAGTACCTTAATAAATTTTTTATGTGTTATATATTGGTTAAAATTTTAAAAATGTAGTCAAAATATGATGTACGAAAAATCATAAGTAAACTAAACTGCAATATAGAGCTGATCTTGCAAAATTGTACAAGTATTTATTGAAGAAAACATGTAATGTGAGTTCTTCACAAATACAAAATGTATACGTCTTTCGCATTATACAATTGCTAGAGAGATGATTGAAAGGCTTTTAAAACCACAAGTCATGTGTGATTTTCTGGTATTCTATCCTTATTAGATATTTGTGATGGAGACCTGTTATACCTATTTCTTTTAAAGAAACAGATTAAGCCTCAGAAATTAACACACTTTATTAGGCAATGTTAGGTGATGTTGAGCAATAAAATATATTATTTCTTAAATAACTTTAAGATGACGTTGATATGAACCTATTATATTCGTAAATATCTAGAACCCTACCATTGAAAATTTTGAACATGAAACATGTTTCGATCAGTCTTCTTGGTTTTGTTGCTGTCGGATTTCCATTATTTGGATTTCTATTTGCAATAGTATGGTCCATTATTTATGATTATGATGCATCCGTTCGAACAGTATGTCATGTAAGTGTAAATAGGGTTTATAATAATGTATGAGATTTCGGATAGTTTTATTCGGATATGTCACAAACCTACCCAGCAGCCTTCCACTAAAATGATACTTTTACTTTATGAGCTAGGGGGCGTGGACGGTAACTTGCACTTTCCATTACCGTCCATGAACAGGCTCAATCAAACCGAGCCTGCAACATTTTCAATTTTGTCGTGTTGGACTTTCTTTGGGGATTCTTATTTTCTCTATTTTACAGGTAATTTCATAGCGATTGAACACGTTGTAAAATTATTTTATTTCATTGTTCAATGAACTTATATGGCATATAATAATGAAAAGTAGAATTAAATCACAGAAGGAAAACTAAAAATAAATGAATCTTTATAGGCAATCACCTGACATAGAATGATAGACCAGTTATATTCTAAACCTAGTGGTGGTGGTTTTTGTGGCTAACCTCTAGATCATGGTAATACACCGATTGCCAGTTTCCAAAATAGTCAATGACAGGCTATTCTTAACATTAGAATTGTGAGTTAAGATAACTGGTTGTGTATCCAGGCTGTCAACCAATTCCTATATTCCTATAAAACTCCTATATTTTTGGTCGGAATCCTATATTTTAAAAAACCTCCTATTTTTCCTATATTCTCCTATATTTTGAATATTTTTCCTATATTTTTTTAAAAATATATTACCGAGGAATTCAAAGAGATTTCAATTTTGGTACTGCTTTTGGCCTTTTGTATTTTACAGGTAATAAGAGAATGTCTATGCCTGCATCAGCATCACATTACTATGCTCAAGGCTGCAGTGCTCCACTTAGCCATCTGCATGGTCACCATGAAAAGCAGTGCATCAGTATGTCAACTTTATTTCAGGTGACCGTTCAGATAATGGTCATGCATTGCTGTAACTTTCTGCCGGGATGCTGATGCTGTGGTTCAAAGCTAATGCAGGCTGTCCGCTGCATCCCTAAAAAAATCCTAATTTTTTTCAGTTTGGCTAAAATTCCTAAAAAAGTGAAAAATTCAAAGGGAATTCCTAAAAATGCCCTATTTTTTCACTGAAATTCCTAAAAAAAATTATCTTTTGTTATAAATATACTTATAACTTGTAACCCTGTCAAAATAATCACGGACATAACTAAGTCGACCATGTTTTGAACATGGACAAAAATGATTTGGCCATGATTTGCCAACTCAAAATTTATGACATTGAAATGGTTTCGTTTTAACTAAAAGTTACTTTGACTATGTCAGTAACATTGCTATTTCATAATCAAAGCAGTTGTTGATAATCATGTTGACAGTTAGCAGCAAAAATACTACCATATCATGGTCCTGAAACTCAAATAATAACCATAAGAGTTCACTTATTCTGGAATATTTTGACACTGTTTTGCCAACTCCAGATATTTTGAATTTTATGTTTGTTCATTTTATCCAAATTTCTAAAGTGGTCCATTTGTATCATATCATATATGAAAATGATCATTATGAAGCTGTTGTAACACAATCTTAATTAAAGACATGTATAAATAGTTGTCAAAAATTAATGTACAATTTGTTTACTCACAACTCTTTTATTTAAATCTGCATAATTTCAAAACAACATTGTAAATACTAAATGGGTGAACATAGACTTTGAAAAATTAATTCTTTCCCTCATACTTATTTATCCTTTTTGATGTCTTTGTAGGAGAAATTGCTTATTTGCCACAATGTTATCAATTTCATTCAATTCTTGTTCTTTCATTCATATGGTACAATTTAGGAAAAGGCAGACTCATATAATTAATCACACTCAAAAATAATGTGGCTGTTCAGTAATATTAAGCTCATTTCCAATTACAATGTACACACATTTTGCAATTATGTGATCTAGATAAACTGCAATTGAATGGTCTGTGTGATGAACTTTTTTGATGTGCAATTCTTTGTGTTGATTATAGATGCTTCCCATTTATTCAAATGACTGTACTAAGGCAAATGTCTTTTTACTTCCTAATTGTACAAAAAATTTCATTTGTCCATATTCAAAAGCTGCATTGTGCAAGAATTTCACTGTATAAGAATTCCTTTTAGACACTTGTGGTTATAACATTCCCAAAACATAGGTAGAACATGTTCTTTTTGACATGTTCAGCCATTTTAAAAAATATGGTTTTAACATGATTTGACTATGACCATTTCCGCAGGGGAGGCAGTTAACCAGTGAGTCCATACTGGTAGCACCTTTGCTCTAACTAAACTAGAGCATTATTTGTGAGTTACTTTTGTGTCAAATATTCAAAGGTTAGCCCACATCATGGTCCTTTGGGACCTTAGTTTATTTAGTTATAAAATTGCAAATTTTAGCCCTAAAATTTCTATTACGTACCCCAACATTCCTAATTTCAGCCCTAAAATTTCTGAAATATTACCCTAAAATTCGCCCTAATTTTATGTTGGAAGGTGCTGGACAGCCTGCTAATGGTGTCCTTCACTTATACGGTAGACATTTTATTGTAGAAACAGCATTGTGTAAAAGTAAGAATAATTCACATTTATATAATCATTGGTAAGTTAAACAATTTAAGTTGAAAACTCCTATTTTTTGCCTCAAAATGGTCCAAAAACTCCTATATTTCCTGCTAAAATATTCCTATATTCCTCCTTTATTTTGGATAAGACCAGGTTGACAGCCTTAGTATCTCACTGTAAAAATGGAGGTCGTAGGACAGGGCGGACCATGAGACAGGGCAGACCATGAGACAGGGCGGACCTTTATATGTTTGGACAGGGTGGACCATATCAGGGCTTTTTTTCTTCTATAACAGGGGCCCATATAACTATAAGGCCCCTTCACAAATTGAATGTAAAACGGTCTGACTTGTGGTAGGTTTAACAGTTAATTTAAATTCCTTGAATGTCAAACAATGTGTTGAAATATATACTGAGACAAAGCTAAGATCACAAGCTTTTCATATTGTAATAAAGTTTAAAATTCGACATTAAATCGCCCCAAACTAGCGGATTAAAAACGACTGAATTTGTATTGCTTTAGCATTAGATATATTGATTTTACTCGAAGATAAGGGAAACAACTCGTTATTTTTTCACTAGATTTATACCTCAGTTATTTACGTAGTTCATATAGAAACAATGGGTGTATAAGCCACTATGTGTTCATCTGAGCAGACTTTAACCACAGCATCAGTTTTGGGCAGGCTGTCAAAACATTTTACCATTTATACAACATGCCTTCATTTTTTGCAAGGAACTGATGTTATACTTCTATTCATGACTGTAGAAAGGATCTTATGATCAATCACAATGAAATTGACCTGCAGAATCCAGGATTGGAACCAAGGTCCCCAATTAGCAGTCCCACTCCAACTGCTCTCCTGATCGAGCTGACTGGGTGGTGCCTATATATATATATATTAAAATTATGAAATGAGCTTAATATATATAACCCTGGTTTCAGTGGGTTCTTATTCAGGGTGTAGCTACTTTAAAATATCCAAAATAACTTTTGTATAGCTTGTATGACAAGTCGTTATAATTATGTATTGTAATATAAATGTATAATAATTGTGAAATCATGGAGGCACCAATATTATTTTACTGTATTTAGAAAAGCTATTTTTTCTTTAAAAATTGTCTATTGGCTACATAGAACCATAAATAAATGATTCACAATTCAATTTTGAAATCAGATAGTATTTAATAAACATAAATTTCACATCAAATATTCTATTTTATAATATAATAATGTCATTGACATTTTATCTAATAAAGGTCAGATGTCATTTACTGTAAGAGCTATTTTGCTTGACACATATCAAATGATACATATGGGTATTGTTACAATACAAGTAGAGATAACAAATTCATTTTCATTATTTTTCTGAGCAGTGACTTTTTTTCCAATTTAAAAACAAAATATAGGGTGATAAATCAGAAAAGGGAGAAACTTGAAATCAAATTCCAACAACTGAAAATGGAATATACCCACACATTTTTTAAAGTTTTTATTTTCAATTCAATTTAACATGCATGGTACATAGCAGAGGCTATCAGTAGCAACAGCTTTCTGTCCCTTAGCTGATATAAGTCAGATGCTGTGAAGTCATGGTTCTGGGAAGGAAGAGCACGAGGCGTGTTAAGGGAAAATGTTTGGGGCTAGGATAAGCTGTAAAAAACAGTGAAAAAAATCACTGCTGAGGTGCATAATTCATTGTGCTTAAGTTTCAATCAATTGATATTATCATAAGCCTTAAGGTGGGGGATATTAATTTTGAATTTAATAAAAGAATTTGATTGGTTTTTCCAGGTTTCAAATTTCCTGCCAACAATTAGTTCAGCTATTGGTGGATTTACACCTCAGAGATATATATGGCGCATCTGCATTGCACTTCAGGCGGGACTTAGGTTTATGCTAGCCTTCTGTTACTACAATTGGCATTTACGTATACATATAGGACAATATCAGGCAGTATACAAAAAAGTTGTTAGCTTTGCGATAACATGTCATGTGATTGAAAATCTTGCTCTGGTTATATTGTCTTCTATATCATCAACAGACAATGGAGGTATGGCATGTTATATCTTACTGTTAATAGAAAATTTATCAAAAGAATGACTTACAATATTACTTTGAAATGGAAGACTTAAATTAATAACAATGTTTTAAGGTATTGGCATTGCATATATATGAGGAGTTTATATTTTGAAATGCAAGTTTTGTTTTTATCGTTTAATATTATAATTTTTCTTGATATACTAGTATTTGGTTGTACATGTTCTGGGTTTCTGTTTGAAAAAAATTTAGGCTTGGCCATCAAAGTATTGAAATAAATTGTCATAACTTTGTTATTTATTTATGGATTTGATTCATATTTGGCCAAAAAACAAATATGACAGAACCAACATGATGATTAATTCAAATGTGACCTTGACATATTTTAATTGACAGACCTTCAAGGTCAATTATGAAATTTGAATTTATTAATTGCCAAAATATTATAATTTGTGAGGGTACTCTTTACTATAATATTTTTCCTCTGATGTGTTTGACGTTATAAATAAGGCGGTGGCTCTTACTTTATTTGATATAGTTTTTCCAGTTGTATGGAGCAATGATTTTTTAATTTTTTATTTTTCAGATGTACATGAATACTCATTTATAATATTTATGGTATGTTCCCAGGTATACATGCTTGTTTCTTGTATACTTATTTCTTGGACCCACAGATCTGCAACATTTAAAGTTACAGCTCAGGTAAAAAGCATATTCCATCATGTTGTCAAGTTATTTTTTTAAATCATATACATGTATACATATTAATTTTCGATGATATATTTTTCTGCAAAATATAATTTACCTATTGATTGAAGTGGAATCCCTCCTGATAAAGAAAATTACAGAAATTATTCATAATAAATCTCAAGAAATTTAAACTTTAATATTAAAACTTTCCATTTGAAACTTTGAATATATTGTAAAATATCTGACAACAAGCTTTCATTAAGAGTCTGTCCAGTATATACATTAAAGTTATAGAGTTTAATTGAGCTAAAATGTTTTATTATTAAAATAAGTGCTTATTGCTTCAATAATGATGGAGCATTGTATAACATTATTATATATTGATATACTACACATTGTATACTCTTGTGCTTGAGTTAAAAATCTGTTCTGTTCTGTTCTGTTCAGTAATTGTTTCAATGAATAAAGAAATAACAAATTTTATGGATTCTAAAACTAACTTTTGCTCTTCAGGATGTGAAATGGTTACGGGTAAAATGGTTCTTATTTATATTCAACCTGGCTATATTTTTATTGTCAGTGTACCTGTACTTCAGACATAATGAATATTGTGAACCTTACAGTAAGTACAAAAACAACACAGCTTAGTTAATTTATTCAGTTTCTGTTTAGGCCATTCGTAAGTGCATTGAAAACAAGATCTGTTTTGCTGTAGTAAATTGATAAATTATTTACAAATGGACACAAATTAAATTCTGCATACTCAATCTGTTAATCATCCATTTGTTTCCTCAATTTGTATATGATATCATCTTTCATTATAATAATAATAATAATAATAATGATGAAAATGATGATAATAATGATGATGATGATAATGATTATGATAATAATAATAATGATGATGATGATGAATATAATAAACTCTTTATTTAACATAGGTAGCTTATTTAGACAGTGCATAAAAGCATCAGAGATAACACATATAATGTAAAATCTCATTTTCAACAAGGTCTTCAATAAACATAAAAATAGACATATTACAAGCAATTATAAAGATCATAACATTCAGTACATCATAACCAACAATGTAGACAAACATAATATATATTATCAATACTCTTATTTCATCGTTGATTTTTTGGAAACTTTAAGTAATACATTTATTATGTAACTGTTGATGTAAACACAATTTTATGTCTGTCATGGTTTGTAATTCATGTATATTCTATAATTGTTATAACATGAAATATGATATATTTTCAGTATATTCCTGGTTTGCATTGGGTGAATACCTGACAATATTGTCTAATATAGCATTCCATGGTTTATGTTGTGTGGACTTCCAACAATACAGTTTTACAGTACTAGATACAGAAGACATCAGCACAGGGCGTTTCAAAGACAGTTGATAAAAGCTTCCTAGGAGTTGTGTTTTATTTCATTTCTTTAATTTCTACATGGCCATATATGTTTAGTTATTTTGTAAAAAAAAATGATATTGTTTGTTCTTGTATAATCAATAGAGGAAAGGATAATTACAATTTATCTTGTTACAACAACTACTGTTTTACATGATAGCAGATTGCTTAACTGTATTTTGTCAAATTTATTTAAGTTCTGAATTACTTCTGACCTACTACTGTAAGTGTTCCTGTTTAAAATTAGTTTAAGGCATTTTATTTATAAATAAAGTGATTCAAGAAGATTGTAAGCTAAGATTAGTAAGAAATTTCACATATGTTACATCTATGAGAGGGACATCCATGGCCGAGTAGTTATGGTCATTGTATTCAAACCACTTGCCCCTCACCACTGTGGGTTTGAATCCTCTATGTGTGGAACCTATCCAGCTAGCTTACCGAATGTTGGTGGTTCAACCTCAGATCTCAGGTGCCTTTCCATATATTATTTCAGGCACAAACGGGCACCTGAGGTCTTCCTTCAGCAGTAAAGCTGGAACATCGCTATATGACCTGTACTGTGTCAGTCTGAAGTAAAACCAAATCTAATAGTCAAACAAACATCTATTAGACCTTATGTCTAGTCAGTGTTACATTGTGAATGTAAATCATTTATGACACTTTTATTTTGTCGTCATTGCTTAGTTTTGATATTGTCGTATAGAAAGGCGAAATAGTCTCTTCCTTTGTAAAACTCCCACTTTTTTTTCCCTGTCTTAATCATTGACCTTAAAGAATTGTGTTGTTGTATGTTATTGTTAAGTGAATTAATAAACTATCTAAGTTGATAGGTTTAAAAACAAAAGCAAAAAACTTCTTACGGCATGTAAATCTGCTTTTTTTGTTTAGCAAATAAGAGCATTTCTTTTTCTTTTTTTGTAATGTTGAATGTGATATTAATTTGGAAAGAGAAGGTTTAAGGTTGTCAGCATAGTTAAGGATAGGTAAAAAATAGAGAAGAAAACATCTTTTGACTGATATGTAGCCTTGACATTATCATATTTGATGTAACAATGTTTCAGTATTTTGATTTTTTTTCTCATTTTCAGAAATATTTGTTAATATAGTTTATGTCATGTATCCTAGTATCAGTAAAAAAGAGTTGTCCAATTATTTTTTTATACAATTTGTTTGATATAGGGCATTCCATACTTAATATAACTAGTATTTAACATATAACTAGTATTCAACTAATAATAGCATTATCACACTTGCCATTAAATATTTTATAACTTATTTTAACTAGAGAAGAAAGTTAAACAATTTTGTTTTTGGAGATTTATTATCAAAGTTATTGTAATATATGATAGCAGATGGGGGTGGGGGCTAGTGGTTTAGATGTTTGTCTCTCAAACCAGGGATCATGGGTTCAAGTCCTACTCGGAGGACAAACATGATTCTGGTTCTTTCCAGGTAGCAGATTTGAAAGTGATTAAGTTGCAAGAATTTGTTACATTGTCAAGTTTGAATAAATATTAATGAATATGTTCAAACTATCAAAGTTATTTATCAAAAATGTGTTAATGTATTTTAAGTTATATTGTTCTAAATGTACTACTGTGCAAGTACTATAGGTTATATAGCTCCATGTGTACTACTTAGAGTTATATGGTTTTACTTGTACTGTACATTATATAGCCATATATGTACTACATGTACTATAAGTTGTACTTAAGTATATATAGCTTTATATTTTCTACTTGAGGTTATATAGTTCTACATGTACTCTAAATACTGTAAGTTATATAGATCTATATGTACTTCTTTAAGTTATATTGTTCTACAATGTACTACTGAAAGTCATGTGGCTGTACATGTATTAACTTTCAGTTGTATTAGTTCTAAAACTCCACATATAAAACTGTAAGTTATATGACTTTTTATTTGTTTTCTCATTATTTCAAACTAACAGCTATTATGGTGGAAGAATCTCTGGTCTGGTCTTTGGTTAATGTCATTTTATTATTTACTTGTGATTCTTGTGATTTTTGTTGTTGTTTTGTAATATAAGTCTCTGATATTTTTCAGTGTTCACTTTATTTTTTTGAAATGTTCTTTTATGAATACAAATGTTTTTTTGCACATTCCATATTGTTTGTTATTCCAGATTAAAGTTGTTAAGTTGTTATTGTCAATATAAGCTATAAAAAAATCAAAAGGTGTTCACCAGTAAACATTTTTCATACATGTATTCTTGTAGTCATATCTAAAATAAACAGACAAGCCACACAAACACAAACATTCAGTAATTATTTATTGCATATGTTTCGGCTGTATGCCATCATCAGTGCAAAACATAATAAAATTACTGGAAGCGACGTCATAACGGAACACGTGTAAAACGTGCGAAAAAACGTTATGGCGTTTAGCGGCAAAATATGATAACATGTAGAAACAAATATTTATGTTATAAATAAGCTGGTACATGAATTAAAATGGATCAATAGTGATACAGATGTCTATTAGACAGTGTTAATAAAAATAAGATAATAGACAAACATATTAATATTCATGTAACACGTTATAAATTAAACAATACTTTATTAGCTCACCAGAGCCGAAGGCTCAGGGTGAGCTATTAGTATCAAAGGGGGATGCTCCATCGTCCGTCGTCATGCGTCAACAATCGTCTTCTTCTCTGTCAGTACAAGGCAGATTTACTTCAAATTTGGTCTGTAGCATCCTTGTGACAGTCACACTTGGATTTGCTCATGTCATCCCAATTGGCCCCTTTTAGGGGTCAGCAGAGCTAAAAATAGAAAAACCTTTAAACATCTTCTTCTACAGAACTATTTGATGGATGATCACCAAACTTTGTCTGTAGCATTCTTGGGTAGTCTTTTATCAAGTTTACTCATATTAATTTGATTGGCCCCTTTTAGGGGTCACTAAGGCTAAAAATAGAAAAACCTTTAAACATCTTCTTCTACAGAACTAATGGATGGATGATCACCAAACTTTGTCTGTAGCATTCTTGGGTGGTCTTTTATCAAGTTTGCTCATATGAATTTGATTGGCCCCTTTTAGGGGCCACTTAAGCTAAAAATAGAAATACCTTTAAATGTCTATTTCTACAGAACTAATTAATGGATGATCACCAAACTTTGTCTGTAGCATTGTTGGGTAGTGTTTTATCAAGTTTGCTCATATTAATTTGATTGGCCCCTTATAGGGGCCGCTAAAGAAAACAATAGAAATACCTTTAAATGTCTATTTCTAGAGAACTAATAGATGGATGATCACCAAACTTTGTCTGTAGCATGCTTGGGTAGTCTTTTATTAAGTTTACTTATATAATTTTGATTGGCCCCTTTTAGGGGCCGCAAAAGCTAAAAAAAGAAAAACCTTTAAATGTCTATTTCTACAGAACTAATTGATGGATGATCACCAAACTTTGTCTGTAGCATTCTTGGGTAGTCGTTTATCAAGTTTGCTCATATGAATTTGATTGGCCCCTTTTAGGGGCTGCAAAAGTTAAAAATAGAAATACCTTAAAATCTCTATTTCTACAGATCTCATTGATGGATGATTACCAAACTTTGTCTGTAGCATTGTCTGGTAGTCTTTTATCAAGTTTGCTCATATTAATTTGATTGGCCCCTTTTAGGGGCCTCTATTGCTAAAAATAGAAAAAAACTTTAGATATCTTCTTCTACAGAACTAACTGATGGATGATCACCAAACTTTGTCTGTAGCATTTTTGGGTACTTTTTTATCAAGATTGCTCATATGAATTTGATTGGCCCCATTTAGGGGCCGCTTAAGCTAAAAATAGAAATACCTTTAAATGTCTATTTCTACAGAACTAAGGGATGGATGATCACCAAACTTTGTCTGTAGCATTGTTGGGTAGTCTTTTATCAAGTTTGCTCATATTATTTTGATTGGCCCCTTATAGGGGCCGCTAAAATTAAAAATAGAAATATGTTTTAAAGTCTATTGCTTCAGAACTAATTGATGGATGATCACCAAACTTTGTCTGTAGCATTGTTGGGTAGTCATTTATCAAGTTTGCTCATATTATTTTGATTGGCCCCTTATAGGGGCCGCTAAAATTAAAAATAGAAATATGTTTAAACGTCAATTGCTACAGAACTAATTGATGGATGATCACCAAACTTTGTCTGTAGCATTATTGGGTAGTCTTTTATCAAGTTTGCTCATATTAATTTGATTGCTTCCTTTTAGGGGCCGCTAAAATTAAAAATTGAAATAATTTTAAACATCTTCTCCTACAGAACTAATTGATAGATGATCACCAAACTTTGTTTCTAGCATTTTTGGGTAATCATTTATCAAGTTTGCTCCAATAATTTGATTGGCCCCTTTTCGGGGCCACTCAAGCTAAAAATAGAAAAACCTTTAAACAACTTCTACTTGATGGATGATCACCAAACTTTGTCTGTAGCATTCTTTGGTACTCTTTTTATCAAGTTTGCTTATATTATTTTGATTGACCCCTTTTAGGGGCCACTAAAGATAAAAATAGAAAAAATCTTCGAACATCATTTCCTACTGAAATAATTGATAGATGATTACCAAACTTTGTCTGTAGCATTCTTAGGTAGTCTTTTATCAAAGTTGCTCTTATTAATTTGATTAGCCCCGTTTAAGCTAAAGCTTAAATGCCCCAGGTCATGGCATTTCTTCAAATTATTGTTTAAACTTATTCTATGCTTAAATTTAATATTAGGAAATATTGACATTCAAACACTGAAAAGCAGTTGTTTCTGGTGAGCGACTCAGGGCCATCATGGCCCTCTTGTTATTTAGTCCATTTGGAATCATAGTATTTAATTTATGGATCCAAAAGAATTCTTTGCATAACCCTTCCATGTTGTTATCTACAATTTCTATCGGCAAAAATGAAAAATCTGACAATGAACACTTATTTTCGGGTGATCCAAAATGGATCGCAACATGTGAAACTGGATTTACGTTACAATTTCTCATATCAAATTCATGTTTATTCATTCTGCACGATACATTTTGATTAGTTGGACCTACGTAT